GGGGTGGGGAAAAGCACTGGGCAGTGGGACGGGCTTGAGCAGTGTGTTTGAGGAACTCAAAGGAGACTTGTTTGGCCACAACAAAAATAGCAAGAAAATGAATGACCGGGTCTTGAAGGCTGGAGTGGTGAGCTAGGACTCTATTAAGCCATATTAAGGATTTTAACATTTTTATTCTAATGCCATTCAGGCGGAGGAGACATATATACAGAATTGGTTTACAAAATCAGCCTGGCTGCTGTGGAATCATTCAGGAGAGACAGGAGTGAAAAGTGCAGAAGTCTGTCCCCAAGAGAAATCTGGCTGTGGATATCAAGAGAAGTGGTCATTTTAGATCTCTTGGTGAGCACTGGTGGTGCAGTGCCTAAGGCATTTGACTGCTAAGCAGAAGGTTGGCGGTTGGGCAATTCCGACTCATAGTGACCCTATAGGATAGCGTGGAACTGCCCCATGGATTTCCAAGGCTGTAATCTGTACGGAAGCACACTGCCACATCATTCTCCCACCGGGCAGGTGGTGGATTTGAACACTGACCTTTCAGTTAGCAGCCAAGTAATTAACCACTGCACCACCAGGGCTCTTATATGTTCATTTAGTCACTGTAAAAATGGCAGCATGTGGGCGTATGACCTCTTCTAACTCTGCAGGGGGAAAGAGAATCAGGATGGACAGGCCAAGGCTGATTCCTATGAGGTGGAGATCAGACATACTTCCTTCCTCCAACCTTGCTATCAATTCTGAAACTAGCCGTCCCTCCCACCATGGCACTCCTCTTCTTGCTGGGTTTGACAATCTATTGCAATGGCCACACAGAACTCACAGACAATACTCCTGATTATGGAGGTTGTTAGAGAAGTAACAGTTCACAATTCAGGATCAGGAATGACTCAAGATACAGCTCTTCTGTCAGGATGGACTCTTCTCAGCTGTGCCAACAGGCAGGCTGCTCTCTGACTCCTGGACCCTGTCCTGCTTAGGCAAGTATTACAGAGCTCTGTAGCTCTGCTGGTAAGTGCTCCGAGGAACCCTACTCTGCCAGTAAACCTGGGCCCAAAGGCACTCAGCTCTGGCTTTGTGAGTCAGCGGTGCACCTACTTGGTGTAGCCGCCTCACTGCTTGGGCTGGGAGCCCACCTGTGCGTCATATGCCAGTCTCCTGGCTCCTTCGTGCTTGCTCTGGCTTCTTGCTGCCTCCGGCAT